ACTATTTTTATATGATATAAAATTTCAACATACCATTGATCACATACATATGATGAGCATGCAGAAAATTAGTGAAGTTTCACATGAATCTCATGAAGACAAAATTTAAGCTGCCACATTGGGCAAAAAAAGAAACATAAAAAACGTAAGAGCAGTATTGAGATATTTTAATTGCAAATATCTTATACAAGTAAATCAATCATGTGAAATATGCCAATATCAGTATTATTGATTTGGTAAACCTCAAGAAATGTTGTTCTGTATGCCTATCTAACTGAAATAATCTGATTCTTTGTAATTTGTTTCATCTAGAAACAGTTATCAGTGATTTCTGTAGCAAAAGAATTGTTTGGCTAATGTATTTTCTTTTTTTGAAAAGAGGGGGGGGGGGGGGGAGGGGGTGCTCAAACAATACTCTAAAGGTAAGAATAACAGAAAAACAAAAAGGTTGAAACTCATTATTTTACTACATGTTTGTGAATAGTGATCACGTCACATTACAGTACTGTTCCCATTTTCTTTTTGTCATGAACTCATGATTCACAGTAAGAGCTGATGATGGTTGTTTCTGGCCCTTGATGTGATATTTGTAATCTAAGCTATGATTTCCATGCTTTTGCAGCAAAGGTGCAATTTTTTTGGGTTTTTTTTTTTTTTTTTTTTTTTTTTTTTTTTTTTTTTTTTTGTGTTTCTAATATGCTGGGTGCTACTGTATTTTTTTTTAGCGAGAATGAACTGCTGTTGTGTTTCTTTGGATTAGAGAATATGGAGGGAAGGGAGAGGTGAGGAAGAATGAGGGACGTGTGCTTTTTTATTTAAATTTGGAATTAGGAAAGGGAAGGAAAGGAGTTGGAGGGCTCCATCTTCCTTCCCTTTTTAATCGACCAAATCTTTCCAGTCGAAGGGCAGAATCACACTTCTTCCCTCCCCTCCTTTCCTCTTTCCCTCCATTTACATATTATGAATGTTGCTAATATCTATTAATAAATGTTTGTGGATGTGCAGCTGGTTGTCCTTATAGCGTATGCTTATCTATATGGAAGACTTTATCTATCTTTGAGTGGTTTGGAGCAGTCCATTATTAAGTTTGCTAGGGCCAAGGGAGAAAATGCCTTGAAGGCAGCCATGGCTTCGGAGTCTGTGGTCCAACTGGGACTTCTAATGGCTTTGCCCATGATCATGGAGATTGGACTGGAGAGGGGATTTAGAACTGCGTTGGGTGAGATGATCATCATGCAGTTGCAGCTAGCGGCAGTTTTCTTCACATTCTCCCTTGGGACAAAAGTTCACTATTATGGGCGTACCATCTTGCACGGAGGAGCCAAGTACAGAGCCACTGGACGTGGTTTTGTTGTCCGTCATGAGAGATTTGCTGAAAATTATCGCATGTATTCAAGAAGCCATTTCACGAAAGGGCTAGAGCTTATGATATTGCTTATAGCATATCATTTATACGGATCTGCGGTATCTGGTTCCACAGCCTTTATTCTGGTGACTGGGTCCATGTGGTTTTTGGTTATATCTTGGTTGTTTGCTCCCTTTATTTTCAACCCATCAGGATTTGAGTGGCAGAAAATTGTGGATGATTGGGATGACTGAACGAAATGGATAAGTAGTCATGGTGGTATTGGTGTACCGGCAAACAAGAGTTGGGAATCATGGTGGGCTGAAGAGCAGGAGCACTTGCTATCTACAGGATTTACAGGACGTTTCTGGGAGATTGTTCTTTCTCTCCGGTTCTTTTTGTATCAGTATGGAGTAGTGTATCATTTGCATGTAGCCAATGAAGACACAAGCATCATGGTAAGTCTGAGATATCTATTGTGGTTCAAGCTTTCCTTTCCCAAACACTGACCTCTGCTTTCAAAGTATCTTGCTTCTACAAATTCATTGTGCTGTGGTAAGCAATATTTGATTTGTACCTTTCAAACACCCCCCCCCCCTTTAAAATATTGTTTGAACTTGTCATTAATTAGGATTTTCAATGTTGTGGGGTTTTGAGTAACTGTGCATACTGTTCGTAAATCAAGTTAGAGATTCTGCTAAGGTATAGCATGCGAAGTGGAAAATTGTGAGAGTTGTTTGGCTGGCAAAAACTCAGGAAGTGCACTTCCTGGGAAGTAACTCGTTTAATTTCTTAGAAAATGGAACCACTGGGAAAAAGCAACTTCTTAGAAAGTATTGTTTCCTATGCTCTACCAAATAACCACTAATAAGCAACCTCGCATACCTACTGTAAACATCAATAAAAATTGCTGGCCCTTCAGCTATATAGTTTTTGTTATTTTTTTGAGGCCATAGGCTTCAGTGCTTCACTGCAGACTTGAGGTAGAGTTAAATTTTTCATCTGATCTTTTTCCAGCAAGTTTTTAATATGACTCTTTTTGTTAATTTTAGGTTTATGGCCTGTCTTGGCTTGTCATTGTTGCTGTGGTTATTATTCTAAAGGTAAGTAACTTTATAATCTGAATGCTGATGCCTATATTTGTTATGAAAGTGTACATATGAAATACATATACTTAGTATGTTTCAAAAAAAAAAAAAAAAAAAAAAAAAAAAAAAAAACTTGTATGTAGTACTTATCTATGTGTTGTGACTGCAGATCGTATCCATGGGTAAAAAGAAGTTCAGTGCAGATTACCAGCTGATGTTCAGATTACTGAAACTTTTCCTTTTCATTGGCTTTATAGTCGCTCTGGTTGTCTTCTTTTTATTCTTAAATCTGACAGTTGGAGACATATTTGTTAGCTTGCTGGCCTTCATGCCCACTGGATGGGCTCTTTTATCAGTAAGATCTCTCTCTACTTTCTATTAATCTGCCATTCATTTCTTTCTTTCTTTTTTTATGCACCTAAATCCGGAAGTATATCCTTACTGGCATGAATCATGCAAGTCATTCATAGCTTTGCTGTTTACTTGATCTTACACTACACCTTAACATCATATGCAATACTTCCAACAAAAAAAGATTCCTTCTCCAAGCGATCCTTAAACTCTTATTGTTGTAACCCTCAAAGTTGCCAATCACGTTATGATATCTGAAATATGATTTTGCAATTAAGTCCAGCTTTTGAACTTCCCCTCTTACCGCTGGGCATACTTTTCACATAGTTTTGTAGTTTTGTAATGTGTTTCAGTGTTTGTCCTCTTATGTTTCATTCTCGTACAGAGTATCAGTTTATCCTGTTATTACTGGTGACGATACTGATTACTGGTATTAAATACTACCTAATATTTATGAACAGATAGCAATAGCATGTAGGCCAGTGGTGAAAGGCATGGGAATGTGGAGTTCTGTCATAGCGTTGGCGAGAGGCTATGAGTACATCATGGGGATTCTAATTTTCACCCCCGTGGCAATGTTAGCTTGGTTCCCGTTCATCTCTGAGTTCCAGACCAGGTTACTGTTCAACCAAGCTTTCAGTCGAGGGCTGCAAATTCAACGTATCTTGGCTGGTGGGAAGAAGCAGAAGTAAACACTCATTTACTCATGTGTGAAGTGGTATTCTGTTCTTGTAAATGACAGAAAGGGGTTCTTCCAGCAGGAAGTGAATTTCTGAATTTAATCAATTTTTTGGAATATGTATTTGCTCACCGGGGATGCCAATGTTATGTGCGCTTCACAATATACTTGTTGGCGTCAAGATCTCGGTCAGAGGCTCCACATTCTGATAGTCTCAAGCCGGAATCAATTTTTTCCAAAAGCTTGCTTAAAGTGCTTATTACCATATTCAATGTGTTCTGGATTTTGTCCATCATACATGTAATTTGCTCTTTTTATATATGAGATTGAATTTAGATTAAAAGTTCATTATACTTTTAGCCTTTCCCTTGTCGGGGAAAGACAATGCATAGGTAAACAGATTGTAGCAGGCTTCATAATCGTCGCAGATTGAACTGTATAACTGATGTCAAAACATGTAAAGGTAGTGTATTTTTTAAAAAATTAGAATAACTGATTCTTTGTGAAGTAATATGCAAGGGTTCAAGCAGTATCTCATATGCCATTCTCTGTCTCATTCTGTGGGAATTGTTGGGTAGAAATTTCTCTGCTTATTCCTCCATTTTGTTTCTTCTCTAAAGTTCCAAATTGTACAATGATCCTTTTATCATTTTTAATGGTATGACTAAGATTGACAATAATTTGTTTTTTTTTTTTTTTTTTTTTTTTTTTTGGGAGGGGAAATATTGACAAAATATTTTAGAGGAAAAAACTTATAGTCATAAAAATGATAATATTGGAAGTAATTAGGTTTGTTCCGTCGTACCATTCCAATAATAATAATAATATGGAGTAATAATAATAATAATAATAATAATAATAATAATAATAATAATAATAATAATAATAATAACAGTGTGGTCTTTTAAAATTCACAAAATATATAATTACAACCTGCATCATGATGCTAGGTGATCTGTTTTGAATTTAAAATCTATGTAATATATAAAGAGAAGAGGTGTTTTTGGTTGAAAATTTTTGAGTGGACCATTTTACCCCTCTTCAAAAAATTTATTATAACTTATAAAAAATTAAAATTTATTTAAAGTTTAATCTTAAAAAATAACTTTCATTTTTAACGGGTCCATAAATTTACAATGATAACTCCTTTCATGGTAGTTATTTAGTGGTATAAATGTCTGTTTTAAAAGTTAGTACTATAATATAATTAGTATTACGAATCTATGTAATATATAAAGAGAAGAAGTGTTTTTGGTTGGGAATTTTTGAGTGGACCATTTTACCCCTCTTCAAAAAATTTATTATAATTAATAAAAAAATTAAAATTTATTTAAAGTTTAATCTTAAAAAATAACTTTCATTTTTTATTGGTCCATGAATTTACAATGATTACTCCTCTCATGGTAGTTATTTGGTGATATAAATTACACACTTTTTACGCAGAAAGGAAAGCATATATTACATAAGTACGGTTATAGCCATACTACCATAATACATGATCTTAATGTTTAGGATGATCCACCCATAAAGTTCAAAGTAGTAAGCTAGAAATAGAATTACAGCAAATAAAACTAAGCGCCCATACACAAAAGCTTGTAAAAACAAGACAAGATGTTCGAAGGAAGAAGGAAGCGCTGAAGCACAGAAAGTAACAGCACTAATTGACCACCATCTCAGGGATTTCTGAAGCATAAATTCCAAACAGCTCAACTGGGGGTAAGAGGTACAGGACAGGCCGTCATGGGCTCACTTTTGTTCTACCCATAGCTGCTAATTTGTCAGCAACACCATTGGCACACCTGCTCACATGAAAAATGGAAACCTTCCAGTTTCTGCTAAGGATTGAAGCCACATCTCGAATTATATTTCCAAGTTCATGATCCTTGAAAGAGTCCGGATCTTCCAGCATTCTCTTAAGTTCAGCAGCATCAGTTTCTAGTTCCAGGAACTTAATCTCCCTTGCCCATGCAGACAAGAGACCATCCTTTATTGCTAAGAGCTCAGTAGCAGCAGGAGAGAGAGCATTATACTTTGCAGCATAACCAAGCTGCCACAACCCTTTGTCGCATCTAAGCACACCACCTCCACCAGCATCATTGATACCAACCCATGATCCATCAGTGTTTAGCTTGAAGTAGCCTTTGTGAGGAGGAGCCCACTGCCTGGGAATGGGATCTGAAGTGGACTGAGTACTAGCCTGCTTTAAAAGAAGAGTGTAATGGCAATCCACCCAAAATCTATTAAAAGTAGACTGTATAAAAATCATTTTCCTGTCAAAGATCGCCATATTTCTAGTTCTCCATAAATGCCAAATGCCAACAACAAAAGTCACTTTCCAAGTGTAGCCATTATTAAGATTAAAAGACAACCAATCTGAGAGGTTAGAGTTAAAAAAGAGGTAGTAATCAAAATTGGGAGGGGGCAAATGTTTGAAAATCAAAGACCAAAAAGCTGAGGAATTAGGACAATCCCTAAAAACATGGATAGAACTCTCATTAGGGTCCTCACATCTCATACAAATTGGATCAAAGAAAGGAATTTTTTTTTGGAGGGTAGTACCAACCGGAAGAATATTCCTAACTAAGTTCCAAAGCAACATTTTATACTTAAAGGGGGTTTGAATCTTCCACATGTTCTTCCAAGAGAAATTAGAAAGAAAAGTTGAATTAAGGTTATAGGCAAAATTATTGGAGTTATAAGCTGATTTAATAGTGAAGGACCCTGATTTATCAAGAGTCCATTGAAGTCTGTCACCAACATTAGCAATAGTAGAGATAGGATAAGCTAGGATTAAAGAGCAAATGGAAGAAGGGATAATATGGGAAACATCATTCAAATACCATTTCTTATCTCTTATAATATTAGAGACCCGCCAGTGCCCTTTTGAATCCGGGATTTTAATATTAGGAATTAGGTATAAAGGACACTCCCCTATCCAATGATGATACCATAGGGAAGTATCCTCACCGTCACCAATATTAATGATAATTCCTTTTTTAGGAAAATCCCTTCCAGAAAGAATATGTTTCCAAATAGTAGAATCAGTAACTTTAACAGTGTAATCCATGAAATTAGAATATTTTAGATACTTTTGAGTAAGGATTCGGACCCAAAGCTTATTAGGTTGAGTAAGAATTTTCCAACCTAGTTTGGCCATAAAAGCAATGTTCCATCTCTTAAGGTCCCTAATTCCCAAACCTCCCTTAGACATAGGGTCACAAATCACACTCCAATTGGTTCTTGGGATGTATCTAGAGCGATTCACACGGTTCCAAAGAAAACGTTTACAGTGTATCTGAAGATCCTTGAGAACACTACAAGGAATAATACTGGTTTGCATAGCATAAACCAGGTAAGAGTTTAAAACAGACTTTATAAGAATGCATCGGCCGGCCATATTTAAAAGCTTTGCTTGCCAATTTTTTATTTTTGAACAAGTTTTATCTAATAGAGGGAAGTAAGACTTGACTGTCAAACGTTTATGAGAGATGATAACACCAAGGTATTTACCAAAAGAAGTAGTGTTAGTAATATTGCAAATATCACAAATCGACTTCCTAACATTATGATTCATTTTCCTAGGGAAAATGGCTAAGGATTTTTGAATATTAATAGAAAGGCCCGAGATATTTTTAAAGAGATCAAGCACATTCATCATAGTCTGAATATTAGAGGTAGAAGCTTTTCCAAAAAGAAAAACATCATCAGCATAAAAGAGACGAGAAAGGTTGATATCCTTAGCAATTTTCATAGGCTTCCAAATTCCCGATCAACTTTTTGCTGGATCATGGAAGAGAGACGATCAAGGCATAAAACAAAGATATAAGGAGATAACGGATCACCTTGACGAATACCCCTTGAAGGTTTAAAAGACTCCGTTATCTCACCATTCCAAAGGAGAGAAATTGAGGGAGAACAAATACAACTGAGAATGAGATTGATAAGATTGGAGGGGAGATTAATACTGCGAAGAGTATCCTCAATAAAGCTCCATTCCAAACTGTCAAAGGCTTTTGAGAGGTCAATTTTCAGAGCTAAGAGATTAGTATGTTTAGAAACCTTATTAAAATGGTGACATACTTCTTTAATTATGATAACATTTTCCTCAATCGATCTATTAGGAATAAAGCTAGATTGAAAAGGGCTGATGAGATCATTCATAAGGGGTTTAAGGCGATTAGAAATGCATTTAGTGATAATTTTGTAGATGGAGTTGCACAGGCCAATCGGTCTAAAGTCTTTCATAGTGGAAGGATGGTCACATTTAGGAATAAGAGAGATATAAGAATCATTAATAGTAGAGGGAATGGAATCATTAATGAAACATTCTGAAACGAAATTCCTAATGGAAGGACCAATGGCATTCCAATTTCTCTGATAGAAAATCGGTTGAAGGCCATCAGGGCCTGGAGATTTGATTGGGTCCATTTGGAAAAGAGCCAATTTGACTTCATCTAAGGAAGGAGGCAGACCAATATTTTGCAAAAGGCATTGATCCACAATAGTTGGAAAAGATAGGTTTTGGAGAAGAACTTCATTAATAGGATTGCACTTAAAAATATTAAAATAGTACTCCCTAGCCATATCCTTAAGAATAATAGGGTCCATGATCCAGTTCCCATCATTATCTTGCAAAGATAAAATTTTTCCTCTCGATTTTTTAATATTAGCTATTAAGTGGAAATACTTAGTGTTGCAATCAGCATTTTTTCTCCAATCTAGGCCTGACTTTTGAGCCCAAATAATTCGTTCAATTTTGTATAATCTATTTAATTCAAGAAGAAGATCTTTTTCTAGATTAATCAGGAAATTCGAGTATTTTTTGGATAGAGCTATTTGAATTCCATCAATCCTAGTAATCAATCTCTTCTTTTTATTAGTAATATTGCCGAAAATATCATGATTCCAAAATTTTATGTTTTTAAGGAATTCCTCCCTCCCTTTAATGAAATCATAATCATGTTTAAACCAATTATCAACAAAAAACTTATTGAAATCTGAGTGTTCAAGCCAAGTAGCTTTACATCTAAATGGATAACAACCATTAGTGCGATTATCAAATAAAGACAAGAGAATAGGATTATGATCAGAATATGTACGAGGTAAATGAAATACCTGAGTGTTTGGATAGGTGTTCAACCATACAGGATTTCCAAGTGCCCTATCTAGTCGTTCTCGGACCAAGTCCAAACCCTCCCCAGAGAACCCCAAATCAACCAGGCAAGCTGCATCCGCAAGCCGATTCAAATCATTACACTGAGATTGTCTAAAAGCGCGACCCCCCGTTTTTTCATTAGGGCTAGTCACCTCATTTAAATCACCTAGGAACAGCCATGGCGTATCATCAGGAGGAAGAGAAGCCTGAATATCATTCCAAAGCTTGTGCCTCTCCGCAGGCGCTGAAGGTGCATGCACAGCAGTTAGAAGGACTTCCTTAGCCTCAGGGCTAAATATTAGAGACCCGCCAGTGCCCTTTTGAATCCGGGATTTTAATATTAGGAATTAGGTATAAAGGACACTCCCCTATCCAATGATGATACCATAGGGAAGTATCCTCACCGTCACCAATATTAATGATAATTCCTTTTTTAGGAAAATCCCTTCCAGAAAGAATATGTTTCCAAATAGTAGAATCAGTAACTTTAACAGTGTAATCCATGAAATTAGAATATTTTAGATACTTTTGAGTAAGGATTCGGACCCAAAGCTTATTAGGTTGAGTAAGAATTTTCCAACCTAGTTTGGCCATAAAAGCAATGTTCCATCTCTTAAGGTCCCTAATTCCCAAACCTCCCTTAGACATAGGGTCACAAATCACACTCCAATTGGTTCTTGGGATGTATCTAGAGCGATTCATACGGTTCCAAAGAAAACGTTTACAGTGTATCTGAAGATCCTTGAGAACACTACAAGGAATAATACTGGTTTGCATAGCATAAACCAGGTAAGAGTTTAAAACAGACTTTATAAGAATGCATCGGCCGGCCATATTTAAAAGCTTTGCTTGCCAATTTTTTATTTTTGAACAAGTTTTATCTAATAGAGGGAAGTAAGACTTGACTGTCAAACGTTTATGAGAGATGATAACACCAAGGTATTTACCAAAAGAAGTAGTGTTAGTAATATTGCAAATATCACAAATCGACTTCCTAACATTATGATTCATTTTCCTAGGGAAAATGGCTAAGGATTTTTGAATATTAATAGAAAGGCCCGAGATATTTTTAAAGAGATCAAGCACATTCATCATAGTCTGAATATTAGAGGTAGAAGCTTTTCCAAAAAGAAAAACATCATCAGCATAAAAGAGACGAGAAAGGTTGATATCCTTAGCAATTTTCATAGGCTTCCAAATTCCCGATCAACTTTTTGCTGGATCATGGAAGAGAGACGATCAAGGCATAAAACAAAGATATAAGGAGATAACGGATCACCTTGACGAATACCCCTTGAAGGTTTAAAAGACTCCGTTATCTCACCATTCCAAAGGAGAGAAATTGAGGGAGAACAAATACAACTGAGAATGAGATTGATAAGATTGGAGGGGAGATTAATACTGCGAAGAGTATCCTCAATAAAGCTCCATTCCAAACTGTCAAAGGCTTTTGAGAGGTCAATTTTCAGAGCTAAGAGATTAGTATGTTTAGAAACCTTATTAAAATGGTGACATACTTCTTTAATTATGATAACATTTTCCTCAATCGATCTATTAGGAATAAAGCTAGATTGAAAAGGGCTGATGAGATCATTCATAAGGGGTTTAAGGCGATTAGAAATGCATTTAGTGATAATTTTGTAGATGGAGTTGCACAGGCCAATCGGTCTAAAGTCTTTCATAGTGGAAGGATGGTCACATTTAGGAATAAGAGAGATATAAGAATCATTAATAGTAGAGGGAATGGAATCATTAATGAAACATTCTGAAACGAAATTCCTAATGGAAGGACCAATGGCATTCCAATTTCTCTGATAGAAAATCGGTTGAAGGCCATCAGGGCCTGGAGATTTGATTGGGTCCATTTGGAAAAGAGCCAATTTGACTTCATCTAAGGAAGGAGGCAGACCAATATTTTGCAAAAGGCATTGATCCACAATAGTTGGAAAAGATAGGTTTTGGAGAAGAACTTCATTAATAGGATTGCACTTAAAAATATTAAAATAGTACTCCCTAGCCATATCCTTAAGAATAATAGGGTCCATGATCCAGTTCCCATCATTATCTTGCAAAGATAAAATTTTTCCTCTCGATTTTTTAATATTAGCTATTAAGTGGAAATACTTAGTGTTGCAATCAGCATTTTTTCTCCAATCTAGGCCTGACTTTTGAGCCCAAATAATTCGTTCAATTTTGTATAATCTATTTAATTCAAGAAGAAGATCTTTTTCTAGATTAATCAGGAAATTCGAGTATTTTTTGGATAGAGCTATTTGAATTCCATCAATCCTAGTAATCAATCTCTTCTTTTTATTAGTAATATTGCCGAAAATATCATGATTCCAAAATTTTATGTTTTTAAGGAATTCCTCCCTCCCTTTAATGAAATCATAATCATGTTTAAACCAATTATCAACAAAAAACTTATTGAAATCTGAGTGTTCAAGCCAAGTAGCTTTACATCTAAATGGATAACAACCATTAGTGCGATTATCAAATAAAGACAAGAGAATAGGATTATGATCAGAATATGTACGAGGTAAATGAAATACCTGAGTGTTTGGATAGGTGTTCAACCATACAGGATTTCCAAGTGCCCTATCTAGTCGTTCTCGGACCAAGTCCAAACCCTCCCCAGAGAACCCCAAATCAACCAGGCAAGCTGCATCCGCAAGCCGATTCAAATCATTACACTGAGATTGTCTAAAAGCGCGACCCCCCGTTTTTTCATTAGGGCTAGTCACCTCATTTAAATCACCTAGGAACAGCCATGGCGTATCATCAGGAGGAAGAGAAGCCTGAATATCATTCCAAAGCTTGTGCCTCTCCGCAGGCGCTGAAGGTGCATGCACAGCAGTTAGAAGGACTTCCTTAGCCTCAGGGCTAAATTTAAACAAAGCGTGGAAGTAGTTTCTGGAGTGCCCTTCAACACAATCAATTAATTCGATAGAATCTTTATAAAGCAACCAAATGCCTCCCCTTAAGCCATTTGGTTTGATAAAGTTGAAATGATCAAAACCAAGAAGTTTGGAAACTTCGGCAGCACGGGTACCATCACTTTTTGTTTCAAGCAAAATAAAGATACTAGGCTTATGGGCTGCAATCACATCCCATGCATGAGGAATAAACTCATTTCGAGAGGCTCCCTTAACATTCCACATAACAACCTTCATGTTTAAATCTGGATAATTAGGAACAGGATGACCTAAAGATAACAGGGGGTCGAATTTATCCCAGTCCTTCCATGTGCATGCGCGATCCATCAGAACTACATCCGACATCCTCATTGGGTTACCATGGAGTTCAATTCCCGAATCGTATTCAACGTCTCCCAGAAATTGACTTCTATTTGAAGACCCACTACCTCGTTTCTTATCATGAATATTTTCATATGGTGTTCTGGATTTTCGAGGTCGTGCTCGCTGCTTCCCGATAGAAGATGGATAACTTTTGGGTTTTGGGGTGGTGGAGAGAGGTTGTGGGGGGGATAGTTCGGCCAGGCAATCTGCTGCTTGAACCATGGTAGAGTCTGATGGGTAGGATTGGGTGAGGTCAAGACCTGAGAGGTTTGATTGTTCATTAATTTCTTGATTTGCATGAGCGTGTTGTACATCATCGAAACTTTCTCTGGAGTTAGAGGGGATTCTATCGATGACCATAGAAGTGGAGGTTTGGATTGGTAAATTCTTTGATTGGCATAAGAGTTGCTCTGAGATGGTGGCAGAGGATTGAGGGAGTTCACCCGAGTTTGATGAGGGTAATGGGATTGGGATTGAGAGAGGGCAGTCTGGGGTGGTGGCGATATTAGAGGACGAGCAATTGAGGGTTGGAATTGAGCAGGTGATTGTGTTCGAGGATAACGAGAGAAAGGTAGTCTCATTGATAGAGGGTTTGAGGTCGGAGATGGTTTGTTCGGAATTGGTCGAATGAGTGATGATGTTGACGGAGAGTTTCTCGGCGCTGATTGAATCGGAGGCGGAGATGACGATCTCCGTCGGAGTAGCCTCCCCGATCTCCTTGGAGGGCGAATGGGGGTTAATTTTTCTTTGTTCCTCTCCATTGGAATTGAGCTTCTTTGAGATTTTTTCAGGGTTTGTTTTTTCAGTGTTCGAAGTTTCTGAAATGGGTTTGATAAAGTTGGAATAAGCAGGGGTTAAAAGGGTGGAAGTGGAAGTGGAAGCGTTTCCTTTCTCGGCCACTGGGAGACCTGAATTGGGAGATGCCATTTGGCAATAAGAAGCTGATGGGAAGCTAAAGGAAGAAGAAGAGGAAGGATTTTTGGAAAGATTTTTGGGAATGTCTTTTTGGATATCGAGGAAATCATCATTACTGGTATTATTATCATTTGTAGTTAAAATATCCTCAGCCACTTCAAGTAACTCAAAACTATTTTTTTTTCATTTTTAAAATTGGAATGGTGCTTAAGGAGTTTGGGCTTGGAATAATGTCAGTGTTGGGTTTCATGGGAATGGGTTTAGGATAGTTATTAGGCTTCTGAGTATTATTGGGCTTCTGGGTATTATTGGGCTTCTGAGAATTATTAGACTTTGGAATTGAGGTTTTGTTTTTAGATGTAGTAGTAGCACCTTGTTTCAGGTGGGATGCCATTGTCTTTTTTGTCGTTTTCTTTTTGTTGGTAACCATGGTCCATGGCCCATATTCTGAAACAGATTGGGGAACCAAGGCCCTTGGATTAAGGGTAGTAGCAGGTGGTGGGTCCACCGAAACCAACTTTTGACTTTGAGCAGTTGGAACTTTTGCATTCATCTCTTCTCCAATGTCATCGTTTAGATGCTTGCATTGATCCTTGCTATGACCTATTCGACCACAATTAAAGCATAAACACTGAATATTTTCGTATTCAATGTTTTGCCATCCATTCCCAACCCATACCTTGGTGATTAAAGGATTGTTGAGATCAATATCCAAACATACTCTAGCATATCTAGCTCGAGTAAGCTGATCAGTAGCATAATCCACACGAATCGGTTTACCTACCAATTTAGCAATTTCAAAGAGAGCCTCCTTATTGTAATATTCAACTGGTAGTTCAGGGAAACGAATCCAAACGGTCATTTTATCGAATGGATTCATAGATGGTCTGAAATTTGGCTTCCACTTCGTGAGCATAAGGTAGTGATCAAGAATGAACCATGGACCTCCAAGAAGGGCCCTTTCATAATCATCAGGAGTTGAAAATCGGAAGTGATAAACATCTCTTCCCAGATCAATAACTTCAAGAGAGCCTTTAGGCCTCCACATAGCTCTCACTCGTTGGGTTATGAAAGAAGGTCTAACAGAGATCCCTAAGCATTTACCCATTAAAGTCAATTTCCATGGGTGTCTGAGCTTAGTGAGAGTTTCTTTGGGGAAAGATACAGCCTTTGCATCCTCCGGAGGGGAAAAAGGTTCATCCTCCCACTCAGTAGAAGTGATTATAATTTGCGTGCCAGAGAACCATTGTGATGAAGCATTCACAGCCTCTCTGAAAGAAACTTTTTCCTGATTAATTACAGAAGGATTAGCAGGATCAGAGGAAACAACTCCTTCCATAGCCTGAACCGTTGATGAGACATGCATGGGTGTTCCCATAATCACATCAACTTGATTGACCACATCCTTATGAACTTGATTGACCACATCTTCATGAACTTGAGGGAGAGGATTCTCAATATCCATTAGAACCAGAGAACAGAACCGAATAAACTAAACTTGGCACAAGAAAAAACGGTTGATTGAACACCTGTAAAAGAAAAAACAATTTGAGAGAAGAAAGCTATCTTCTTCCTCTAAGGAAAGCTCCCAAGGCCCCCTTGCCTAAGCAAGAGGGGAAGCCCCTGATGACTTTCCAGAGAGAAATTGAAAGCTAGAGAGAGAAAGCATTTTAAAGACTTTTATTAAACTTTTATAAATTACATACTTGGTATTTTAAAAGTTAGTAGTATAATTTAATTAGTAGTACAAATATTTATATTGTGCACCTATTTTACAAGAATGTTTAATTTAAATGATAGAATTATATTGAAACTTATTTTATAAGTATGTATGATTTAAATGATACATAAATACAGTGAAATTTGTTTAAGCCCGTGTAATGCTTAAAAAAAAAAATTAACCACGTGTAAAAGTAAAATCTACTCCCTCCGTCCCTAAAAGATCGACCCTTTTGGGCAATTTTCACGGGTATTAAGAAAATTAAATAAGAAGTAGTAAAAGTGTATTGAAAATATGAGTTTACATGGGATTTGCAAAAAAGTAGAGAGAGAAAGTAATAAAGTACATGGAAACACAAAATTTTACATGGGGAAGTTAATTTTGCATAAATATTATTGCAAATTGGAGGTTATTTTATTGCAAATGGGATGATCATTTTGGGTTAATGGACCACAAGGGTCGAACATTTAGGGACGGATGGAGAAGAATTTTTTTTTTTGCATGGTTTTCTTTTTTAGCTCATCCCTTATATGGATTTTCTTTTTTAGCTCATCCCTTATATGGATTTTTACATCTACTAATCATAAAAAATACGGAGTAATAAATTATATCAATATGTCATTTATGCAAATAAATAAAATATAAAAATAATTTTATGTACGAAGTATTAAGAGCATGGAAGATAATCGTACACGTACTGCGTACGCCTCTCAACTTGTTAAGATAAATGGTGGACTTGTCAGTTTTCTTAGAAAAACAAATATACGAGCCTAGGTGGCTAACATTAGAATCTAGCCTTATTGTTACTGATTTGCTTATCAAAAAAAGTTGTTACTGATTTGAGTTGTGTTTGAGTTTTGCCGCCCAGATTGGTTGGAGCAATAATAATCTTAACAACCAAACAAATGTCAAAGGATGTTGGGATATTCTTCAACTTTTATGCCAAATCAATTGATTTCATCCCTTCCATGTCAACATCTTTTGCCATTATCTTCTTCTCAAGGGTGAAAAACGTGAAACAATTAATAAACAAATATCTAGTTTTTAGTGTTATAATTTGATATTTTACGCTATTTAATTTAATTTTTAATTAATATTTAGATTCGAGAGATATGAGTTAAAGACTTATAGGTTTTTTGTTTTTTTTTTTTTTTTTTTTGAAAAATGATAAGCAACAAATACTTTAATATACTTCATACGAGTATTATTTTATAATACAAATACAAAATATTTAACATATTGAATGTGATATTCATATGATATGGGTTATATTATTACTTGTAATTCAAAACTTTATAGTCGTTCCATTTAACAAAAAAATAAATAAAAATTACCTTCTTTATTAATAATTTTCTTGATAATTTTTTTTGTAAGATTTGTTGATTTCAAAAGAATTACATCTATATGCACGCGATGTGTTTTTTAAGTTTCTAAATTAATACCCACCAATTATGTTACACCCCATAGTCTATACTACAAAGTAAAAATAAGAATATGTTAGGTATATAGACTATACACCCTATGTTTCAAAATAATTAACATATTTGACCCTTTTTTTTTTCTTCAGTATTTATAAATTAATTTTAACCATAGATATTTTTTAATGTATTTATAACAAATTTTATCATTAAATATGTTAATATATAGATATTTAATAAAGTTTTATAGTACTACTTAAACTACGCCATTATTCTATGTATAAAATTTGACTATATCAATTATTCTGCAATAGAGTGAGTATTAGGTAGACACCATTATCTATTTATCTTGCCCAATCAAATAAGTAAAAAATTGGCATTACAAAATACGAGTAAAAATGATTGGCAAACATAAAATCTTGCACCACAAAAAAGATAATATATATATATATATAATAATAATAATAATAAAAAATGACGTGTGGAGAGAGAAAAGCAAATGTCAGTCTGGCAACCGATGACGATTTACGAACGCAAAAACGGTCCTACATACCACCACTCCTCCTCCTATACTATACATTCATTCATTTACCCATTTTCTCCCAATTTTTTCCATAATTATTCTATAATTTCCTCCTAATTCTAATCATCATACTTTCTTTCTGTTAGTTTCCTCACTTTTCTTAAACTCTCACTTCATCCCCAAAAAATTTAAATTCTTTCTCCTCAATTTTTTGAAATTTTTTCCTAATTTCCCCTGTTTAATTCTCATTAAATACCCATAATTTCAATCTTTAAACCCCAAGTTTAATCTACAACTATTACTCCTAAATTTTTAATTTTTTGTGAATAAAATCCTGTCTTTTTTGGTGGGTAATTCATGTCTCGGAGATTTAAGGCAGGTAATGCTGATGAAATTAATGAAGAAGACGACAATGGTGAAGACAGTATTAATAGGAGAGAGAAAGAGATTGTTATTAATGATGATAATAATAAGCAAAAGATAAAGAAGAGGTTGAAATTTGGTGGGTGCGGTTGCAAAAGTGCAAAGAAGGTTGTTCTTTCTCCTTTCAACAAAGTTGATAAATTATACAAGAAATTTAATGAAAGGTCTTCTTCTGCTTCTAATACAAGTAATAATTTTAGTTCCAATTATTCTTGCTGTTTATGTATGTCAAACCCTCAAAATATGGACATAGAGTTAGAAGGAATTGATCCAAATGACTCTAATTTTAGTTATGATTATATGAAGTCTTTGATTGAGAATAATGATTTTTATTCTAAGGAGTGCAATACCCATATTCTATGATTTATTGATAGATTGGTTGGTTTATTATACATCATCATATTGAATGAGGTTATTGTGTTGAGGCTCAATTGTCAATGCCAATGTTGGTGACTGATTAGGTTAATTCTTGGTGTAAATTAGAAAGTGGTTTGATTGTATAAAGGCGCCGAGACATGATTATACTCGTTTTAATGGCTGATTGATTGGTTAATTCATGTTGAGGATGATACAGAAATGAGTTTTTGTGTTGAGGCTTAGTGAAGGTGGGCATGACATTAGTATGATATGGCCTAATAAGCTTGAGTATTGGTTTGTTGGGTTAAACCGATTGCCCGAGTGAAAGGAAGACCATAATCTAGGATAATGTTTGTCTATGGATGTAGAAAGTTGGGCTGTTGTTACTATGGAAGGGACTCATCATCTCTTGGGGTGTTGTTAGCTCCTACGGTTCTTAATCAAGAGTGGTTTTGATTGCCCTCTTTTGATCGCGGCTTCTGCATATCTTTAGAGGTCATTATATATTGGATGCACAAGGAGGTAGATTCTACTTGTTAATTTGGTCTTAAATTTTTTGGATGTACATCATTTTTGGAGCTATGGGGACCTTGTAGGTCCAGGAGAGTAGTGCAATGTGCTCTCACTCCTCATATGGGGTTTGTGAGTTGGTTGATATTTATCGATTATTGATATTTTTAGTTTAGAATTTCTATTTTTTACTGCTATACTGTATGCTTATTCTCTGCATACCAAAAGTCAAATGTAAATTCAAATTTGTAAATGAAAAGAAATTTGTTTTTATATTCTGGGTTTGTTCTCTATTGCTTTCTCTGCATATATGCACTCTGTAAGTGGTGAATATATTCTTTTCTGATCAGCTGATAAGTATTCTAGTTACATACTGTGGTGATAATATATGAGGAAATTGTTTCATTATCTTTACTCCAGCCATTGATAATCGGCAACTTGGTGTATATGGTCTGATTCTATAGTTGTGAGGATCTGGGTTGGCATCATTGAATGATATTATTTGAAGATTGATTGCTGTGCTCGTGCTCTACATTTTCTTGAGAGATCAAGCAGAGTCACACATACAGATTTTAACCTTAGATGGTGCGGTTGGTGCCATCTTCATTTGTGGTTATACTTTATGCCTTCTGATAAAGTTGATGGCTGACTCTTTTGTTAAGTGGAAGCTCTTAGTTAGTTATTAGTTTACTTTTGCTTCTGCAGTGGGCTTCTTAGATGAGCCAGATTTACTCTTCACCCTTAGATACTTGAAGAATTAAAGAATATGTTGTCGTCACTGCTTCTCACTTTAATATGTAGTAGGACCGTTTATTTCCATCCTCCTATTTTTCATGAAGTGAGCTCTTGATACCTTGTTGATACATTTGGAAGAGAAAGTATGAAGTTGGTTGGCTTTGTATATGCTTGCCTTTTTGCGAACAATCATGTTAGTTGTTTTGAACCCCATTTAAACCACAATCTCTTTGTTTTTATGGTGCTGCTTTTTTTTGGTCCCTGATACTAAGCCAAAGGAAGATTGGAAAACTAGGTGAGAGATTATTTCTCAGCAATAGCCCTCTGAGTTCCTCACTCTTAAGCACCAAAAAGGTTCAGTATCCGTCTATGGATGAAGACTTTCAAAATCCTGTTTGAACTCTGAAGTCATGTCCTTCTCTTTGATTTGAACTGTTCACCTGTCCAAAAGCAACTGGACCGGATTGGAAGTAGTGACAGATTACCTCTTTGTTTGGATTGAAGGAAATGGAGAGAAAAGAAGAGAAGGGAAATGAATGGATGGAGTATCTTTCATTTGGATAACAATGAGGAAGGAAGGGAATTGGTGGGGGGATAATTGGCGGGATTAAATTGTAAGAAATTGATCCCTCCAACTATGGAGAGATTTGGAAGGAAAACTCATCATTTTTCCCTCCCTCCCCTTCTTTTCCTTCCTCTTTCTTTATCCAAACACGAACAATGTTCTGTTCATCTGAGATCAATCACATATTTTCATCTGATTCACTTTTGCTGTTAGCCTCAGACTGCCAGAGCGTGTGTTCTATGTTTTTGTAGCATGTAGTGGTCCTTTGATTAGCTTCCACTCCTTTGTAATTATTTTATAACCTTCAATGTGCAATTTACATTCGATAGAATCAAGCAATCAGCAATCCTTGTGCTGTTGAAACACTGCTGAGAATTTGAACTCCTTGATGATTTGCATTTGCTTCTGTAGCTTGTGTTAATTGCTGTGGCAAGTGGCACTAACTTTGT